ATAAGAAGACAGACTGAAGGAACTAAACCTGACCACTTTAGAAAGGAGAAGAGAGATGGGACATGCTACAGACATATAAAATACTTAGAGGGACTGACAAAGTGGAAACATGAGGACATGTTTACAAAGAATAACAATAGACCCAAGATGACATGGATGGAAGCTTGAGACTCAGATGTGTCATAGAGATGTTAGAAACTTTTACTTTAGCTTAAGGGAACTGAGTAAATGGAATGGCCTAAAGGAACAGGTTGTAGAGGTTATCTTGAGGTTATCTTGAGATGATTTCGGGACTTTAGTGTCCCCGCGGCCCGGTCCTCGACCAGACCTCCACCCCCAGGAAGCAGCCCGTGACAGCTGACTAGCACCCAGGTACCTACTTTACTGCTAGGTAACAGGGGTATAGGGTGAAAGAAACTTTGCCCATTGTTTCTCGCGGGCGCCTGGGATCGAACCCAGGACCACAGGATCACAAGTCCAGCGTGCTGTCCGCTCGGCCGACCGGCTCCCAAGGCTAACTCCATTCCTAACTTAAACAGCAGGTATGATAGAGAAATAGGTCAGGAGTCATTGCATTAGACAACCAGCAGCTAAAAGAGAGGCCAAGAGCTAAAGCTCGATCCTGCAGGCACAAATAAGTCAGCACACACACACACACACGCGCACACAGGCTGGAAGACAGAAGAGTTAGGGGGGACATGATCACCACATTCAAGATTCTCAAGGGAATTGATAGGGTAGATAAAGACAGTCTATTTAACACAAGGGGCACACGCACAAGGGGACACAGGTGGAAACTGAGCGCCCAAATTAGCCACAGAGATGTTAGAAAGAACTTTTTTAGTGTCAGAGTGGTTGACAAATGGAATGTATTAGGAAGTGATGTGGTGGAGGCTGACTCCATACACAGTTTCAAGTGTAGATATGATAGAGCCCAATAGGCTCAGGAACCTGTACACCTGTTGATTGACAGTTGAGAGGCGGGACCAAAGAGCCAGAGCTCAACCCCCGGAAGCACAACTAGGTGAGTACACACACACACACACACACACACACACACACACACACTACACACACACACACACACACACACACACACACACACACACACACACACACTACACACTACACACACACACACACACACACACACACACACACACACACACACACACACACACACACACACACACACACACACACACACACACACACACACACACACACACACACACACACACACACACCACACACACACACTATAAACTTAAAACGAGATATAATTTGGGCACTTTTATCACCTTGATTCCAGTCAGGAAATTAAAGAATGGTAAAAAGATAATCTGATAAGATCATAACTGCCAGGTTTACGAGCTAGTTCTCACTGTTATGTTCATGAGTAAACTGAAGAACCTAGTGTTCTTCAAGGGCATTTTGAAGAACACAAGGTTGCTTTCCCAAATGAATTTAGAGGTATATTACCTGAGAGTATTATATAATTTTCCTATTCCCGTCCACAGGATGGGTATGGGGTCCACTACCACCCACAGGATGGGTATGGGGTCCACTACCACCCACAGGATGGGTATGGGGTCCACCACCACCACCCACAGGATGGGTATGGGGTCCACTACCACCCACAGGATGGGTATGGGGTCCACCACCACCCACAGGATGGGTATGGGGTCCACCACCACCCACAGGATGGGTATGGGGTCCACCACTACCACCCACAGGATGGGTATGGGGTCCACTACCACCCACAGGATGGGTATGGGGGTCCACTACCACCCACAGGATGGGTATGGGGTCCACTACCACCCACAGGATGGGTATGGGGTTCACTACCACCCACAGGATGGGTATGGAGTCCACTACCACCCACAGGATGGGTATGGGGTCCACCACCACCCACAGGATGGGTATGGGGTCCACCACCACCCACAGGATGGGTATGGGTCCACTACCACCCACAGGATGGGTATGGGGATCCACTACCACCCACAGGATGGGTATGGGGTCCACCACCGCCCAAAGGATGGGAATGGGGTCCACTACCACCCACAGGATGGGTATGGGGTCCACCACCACCCACAGGATGGGTATGGGGTCCACCACCGCCCACAGGATGGGTATGGGGTCCACTACCACCCACAGGATGGGTATGGGTCCACTACCACCCACAGGATGGGTATGGGGGTCCACTACCACCCAGAGGATGGGTATGGGGTCCACTACTGCCCACAGGATGGGTATGGGGGTCCACCACCACCCACAGGATGGGTATGGGGGTCCACCACCACCCACAGGATGGGTATGGGGTCCACTACCGCCCACAGGATGGGTATGGGGTCCACTACCACCCACAGGAAGGGTATGGGGTCCACTACCACCCACAGGATGGGTATGGGGTCCACCACCACCACCCACAGGATGGGTATGGGGTCCACCACCACCACCCACAGGATGGGTATGGGATCCACTACCACCCACAGGATGGGTATGGGATCCACCACCACCCACAGGATGGGTATGGGACCCACTACCACCCACAGGATGGGTATGGGATCCACCACCACCCACAGCATGGGTATGAGAATGCATAATAAATGAACTAGACTCAAAGCTGTCGTAGACCTTCTGGAAGAAACTCCACTAAAATTAAAATGGGTAGAATAGGGAGAATGATTAACTAGTTCCCTTTCAGACTTCAAACGGAAGTATTTCTTTATTTTCGAGCTAACAAACTGATGTAAATTAGGTTCAATTTCTTTACAATCTCTACGAGCAGAAATTATTCATTTATAAACATACCAATCTTTGTCTTGTAAATAAGAATTACATAATTTGAGCTACAGAATCGTTTGAGCATCACATCTTTAATATTATCTTTTAAAGTTTCAAAATTTTATATATATATAAATACTTGGCAGTATAACTCAAAGTGTTGACAACACCGCGATAGATAACTTTGAGTCGTTATAAAGGCATTTTCCAACGTGTAATTTTTAAGGATATTGAGGTTCAGTAACGAATTTCAGCTTGAAATACAGTTATGAGTTAACACGTAATATGGTCAAGCTTATTTGGTCCCCTGTTACCTTATTTTGATCTTATTTGGAGGAAGCTTAAACTTATGAAGCTTCAGCCACGCTGGGTGAAGCTGTATCTAAACCTTACTGAAGGAGAAGCAACAGTATTTATTTTCAACCGTAATTCTGACAGCTTCAAACTCTTTGGTTGATGAAGATAAGGATCTGGGATGTAAGAGAGGGATCCTCATATATCCCAGATTGGATCCCGACGGCCCCAAGCGGTTGGATCATCGGGGATCGAACCCTGGCCTACAAGAACCTATAGGCCCTCGTTGTTCCGGCAACTCACAGGTGGATGCTGCTATGTAAATACATATTTATCCTCCTTTTCACCTTTGGAAAAGGAGTTTGTGATCTATTTTTCATTCTTGCAGGTTATCCGTTGCATATTCCTAGTAATGGTAGTTTCCATGTTGCCTATGTAGTTAGGTCGTTATACTGCCCTCGACAACCTTGACCTCTGGTCATAGGGTCATTGGGGATCGAACTAGTTCAGCTAAGACAGTACCCGAGCTTATGACATACATCTTACGAACTAAGATGTTGAAGACCAGACCACACACTAGAAATTGAAGAGACGACGACGTTTCGGTCCGTCCTGGACCATTCTCAATTAAATTTCCTTGCCCTGTCTCATCGCCTGCATAAGATGTTGAAATTCTCTCACACACACGCCATAGCCCTCCTGGCTTCCTACCTAGTTAATCTCCACGTCTAAGATGTAACCCAACAATGCCACATGAAATATCATTTACGATCCCAGAGATGCAAACACAAAATTGACTATTTAAAATGTAGATATTGGAATCATTTTGTTATATACACCGTCAACAATCCCTATTTTCCAGTATGCAAATTGGAGAGAGAGATAGAGAGGTAGGAGAGAAAATTCTCTCCTTGCTCTGTCTTGTCAATGCCTCAAGGAATATAAATTATGTTTAAGAAAGTGATTTTTTTTGGGGGGAAGCAAATGTTGGCATTTGTTTCGAGAGCCATATATATAAGTTCGATTAACCGAATTCGAGATTCGAATTCAAATTCGAATTCAAATTCAAATTCAAATTCGAATTCAAATTCGAATTCAAATTCGAAACCGGTACACCAACAGGTGGAGACCGGTACACCAACAGGTGGAGACCGGTACACCAACAGGTGGAGACCGGTACACCCAACAGGTGGAGACCGGTACACCAACAGGTGGAGACCGGTACACCAACAGGTGGAGACCGGTACACCAACAGGTGGAGACCGGTACACCAACAGGTGGAGACCGGTACACCAACAGGTGGAGACCGGTACACCCAACAGGTTGAGACCGGTACACCCAACAGGTTGAGACCGGTACACCCAACAGGTGGAGACCGGTACACCCAACAGGTGGAGACCGGTACACCAACAGGTGGAGACCGGTACACCAACAAGTGGAGACCGGTACACCCAACAGGTGGAGACCGGTACACCAACAAGTGGAGACCGGTACACCCAACAGGTTGAGACCGGTACACCCAACAGGTTGAGACCGGTACACCCAACAGGTGGAGACCGGTACACCCAACAGGTGGAGACCGGTACACCAACAGGTGGAGACCGGTACACCCAACAGGTTGAGACCGGTACACCCAACAGGTTGAGACCGGTACACCCAACAGGTGGAGACCGTTACACCAACAGGTGTAGACCGTTACACCAACAGGAGACTGGTACACCAACAGGAGACCGGTACACCCAACAGGAGACCGGTACACCAACAAGAGTCCGGTACACCAACAGGAGACCGGTACACCCAACAGGAGACCGGTACACCAACAGGAGGCCGGTACACCAACAGGTGGAGACCGGTACACCAACAGGAGACCGGTACACCGCTCGAAACCAGCTCCGTACCGCTCGGTTCAACAGAGCGCCTTAAGTCGACTTTAACTTACGCGCGCAAGAATACTTACCGTTGTATATGAGAGTAACGGGATGATGCTGGTAGTGGTGGTGGTGAAGGGGGGGTGGTGGTGGTGGTGGTGGTGGTGGTGGTGGTCTGTGGGGGTCCGGCCTAGCCACCTCCGGTATATGCACCTCCACCACCCGCTCCTCCTCGCCCACCTCCAGCTTGGGTCGCGGCAGGTGGTGGTGGTGATGGTGGTGGTGCAGGTGATGGTGGTAGTCGTCGAGGGGCGACGCTGGGTAGAGGTGGTAGTCCGGCCGGGTCAGTTCAAGCGGCGGGGCAGGGGTATAGTAGGGCGGGGGCGCGGAGATGTGGAGGTTCAGTGGGTAGTGGGCGGCGGTGGGCGGCGGCGAGGGGGCCGTCTCCCCCGCGGGTGGCGATCGGGGCGGCCAGTCCGCGGGGGGCGGCGAGCGGTCCCGCATAGGGGGTGGTGGGTATGGGGAGTGGCGCCCCCCGGCCTTCTTAGCCATGAAGCACCTGGGCATGGTGGCTAGCGGCGGCGGCGGCGGCGGCGCGCGGGTCACATCACAGCCGGGCGAGCTCTACACGACATCCAGGGGGCACAGGGCGACACAGGCGACGACACACAGACACACACACAGACACACACACACGGGCGGCCCAGCTCCCCGCGACACACAGTACCGCCGCCACACCACCACCCGCCTTTTATACTCTCATGGGGGGGAGGGGGCGGGGGAGAGGTGCCAGTGTTCGCCACTTACACCCATTTACTCGTTACTCTCCCTTCCTCCCACTTCCTCTAACCTCTTTAACTCTACTAATAAGCATTTGGGTTTGCTGTGAAGGTTTAATGTTGAAGATTCGTCATAATAGGAACTTTTTTTAAGTAAATGGGAGACATGTTGCGGCGCGGGGGAGGAGCCGCGCATGCGCGGCACGTGCCGGGGGCGGGGCCTTGACCATTGCCATCACAACCTTCGTCAAACATTTAGTTACTACATATTTACTGGCTTCAATAGATCTCCTTTCCTTGCCCATGAACTCCCGTTGTACCAAAGTGTGCAATGAGGGGATATATGATGAACCAAATGGAAGGAATTCATCAATAAAATGACGTGAGAAAAATGGTAGGCGGTGTTGGACATGGCGCGTGTCTACCACTGTTGAATGGCCACCTGCCGCACCCGCCCCAGCTCCTCTCTCTCCCCCACCCTCCCCTTCCATCCCCATTCCTTTTCCTCGCTTCGTGTCTGTTCCTTCTCCTCGCATAACTGTCCCTAACCACCCACCCCCCCCGTGAGCCACGGTGGTCAGGTTCAGATAACACGCGGGAAAGGCCCCGACTGAGGTTGGCGACGCGGTCACTCCTTCAGCAAGCCGCCCGCCAAAGATAGCGCAGTGCATGCAACAGTGTCAACTTGTGGCTCTCTGGCGCCCACCCGTTGAACGTCTGCAGCCCCACAAACACCCGCAGTGTGACCTACGATCCGCCGCACGACGCTTCCTCGATGTATGGGGGGGCTGGAGGGACGGCGGTCGGCTCCCCTTGATGTCTTATGGGGGAGAGAAGGGAAAGCGGGCCGCTTTCTCGAGTCCTGTGGCTGTTGAATACTTGACCGAAGGAATTGTCAACATTTTCAATAGGGGGGAGTAGGTCAGGGGTCATTCGTAGGGGGGAGTAGGTCAGGGGTCATAGGGGAAGTAGGTCAGGGGTCATATGTAGGGGGGAGTAGGTCAGGGGTCATATGTAGGGAGTAGGTCATGGGTCATATGTAGGGGGGGAGTAGGTCATGGGTCATATGTAGGGGGGAGTAGGTCATGGGTCATATGTAGGGGGGAGTAGGACAGGGGTCATATGTAGGGAGTAGGCCAGGGGTCATATGTAGGGAGTAGGTCAGGGGTCATATGTAGGGAGTAGGTCAGGGGTCATATGTAGGGAGTAGGTCAGGGGTCATATGTAGGGAGTAGGTCAGGGGTCATACATAGGGGGGGAGTAGGTCAGGGGTCATACGTAGGGGGGAGTAGGTCAGGGGTCATTTGTAGGGGGAGTAGGTCAGGGGTCATACATAGGGGGAAGTAGGTCAGGGGTCATACGTATGGGGGAGTAGGTCAGGGATCATACGTAGGGGGGAGTAGGTCAGAGGTCATAGAGGGGAGTAGGTCAGGAGTCACACGTAGGGGGGAGTAGGTCAGGGGTCATACGTAGGGGGAGTAGGTCAGGGGTCATACATAGGGGGGGAGTAGGTCAGGGGTCATACGTAGGGGGGAGTAGGTCAGGGGTCATAGGGGGGAGTAGGTCAGGGGTCATATGTAGGGGGGAGTAGGTCAGGGGTCATATGTAGGGGGGAGCAGGTCATGGGTCATATGTAGGGGGGAGTAGGTCAGGGGTCATACGTAGGGGGGAGTAGGTCAGGGGTCATACGTAGGGGGGAGTAGGTCAGGGGTCATACGTAGGGGGGAGTAGGTCAGGGGTCATACGTAGGGGGGAGTAGTTCAGGGGTCATACGTAGGGGAGTAGGTCAGGGGTCACGATAATCTGCGGTCACGATAATCTGGGGGTCACGATAATTTGGGGGTCACGATAATCTGGGGGTCACAATAGTCTATAATACATGACGTTATTCAGAATATATAAACATACCCGGCTATATAAATACCAAATCTCTATACATCTATCAACTATGCAATTGATGACTGTTGATAGATAGGTCTATACATCTATCTTGCACCAAATTACACTCTTGCAACATTCGAGAACTCGATAGACCGTCATGGGAATACGAGAGATAGACGAGATGCAATTTTGACCCCATAAGCAAGTTGCTTTACCTCCATCGTATCCTTGGATAAGGGAGCCGGTCGGCCGAGCGGACAGCACACTGGACTTGTGATCCTGTGGTCCTGGGTTTCGATCCCAAGCACCGGCGAGAAACAATGGGCAGAGTTTCTATCCCCCTATGCCCCTGTTACCTAGCAGTAAAAATAGGTACCTGGGTGTTAGTCAGCTGTCACGGGCTGCTGCTTCCTGGGGGTGGAGGCCTGGTCGAGGACCGGGCCGCGGGGACACTAAAAAGCCCCGAAATCATCTCAAGATAACCTCAAGATAACGTCAAGAACTCCACACCCCTCTACCCCATCCCCCCAAACTCATTCAAGAACTCAAGTCACGTATCAAGGATTCAGCAGGTTCGTCAAGGCATCAGCCTGAAGCAGCCAGCTAGTTTAAGTGGCGAAGAGGGCGAATCCTTTTTTATTCTGTTCCTCTATCGGGTTGAAAGGGGGCGGGGAAGTGAGAAGTTTAAGTGGAGAAAGGGTCGAGAGGTGGGGAGGAATTGTGGGGGATAGTGGAGGTACGGGTGGGAGGGATTATAGGTAATTGATAAAGGGGGAAATGGAAGAAGGGAGAAATTGAAATGGGTTAAGGTTTGAAGTGAAGGGTGGAAAGGGGTGAAGATGAGAAGGTTATATTCTCTGTTCCTTGGGACAGTTTATCGGTTTCCTTCTGTACACTGTCCTCTTTTGTACTCTGCCCTCTTGTGTACACTGTCCTCTTCTGTACACTGCCCCCTCTACACTACCTTGTTCCATGTTATTCCTTCCCCTCTATCAATCCCAATTTGGCTCTATAATATTCCTCACTCTTTTATACACTACTCTCCTAGCCTCTTATGTTCTATTACACTAACAACCCCATATTATCCAGTAATTACCCCCCTAGTTTACAACTACTGTCATCCCTTTCCCCCCCTTTTTTCCTCTGTCCCCCCCTACCCTTGTACACACATTTACAGCACCCCCTATTATTGCTTTATTGCTTACTTCCCCATTTTCTCTCTTATCTCTCATCCACCTTTTTATTGACGGTTCTCTTTTATCTCTACTTCTCCTTTTCCATTCTCTCCTCTCTCTCTCATATCTTCTTCTCACAGCTGGCAATCCCAATCTTTATGGAAGAGGAGGAGGTGGTGGTGGTCGTGGGAGAGAATCAGGAATAGTGAGAATCCATCTTGGAGACAAATATCCATAGAGATTCGGATTGGAAACAACAGAGGAGCAGCGGAGTTGCTCATAATCTGTGGTGAGAGTGACGGACACCGCCTTGATCACTACCTGGGAGATTGTGGACATGTTTGAGACATGACAAATATGTCTAGATTAATCCTTACATTGTCTGGGTACAAGTGACAGGATGAACAACCCAGCAGGTTTTCTTCCTATTGGGGAGTGTTGTACATGCTGCTATGGCGGTATGTCCACTCACAGGATGAGTGGCGCTGCCCAATACTGTCACTATGGCGGTGTGTCCACTCACAGGATGAGTGGCGCTGCCCAATACTGTCACTATGGCGGTGTGTCCACTCACAGGATGAGTGACGCTGCCCAATACTGTCACTATGGCGGTGTGTCCACTCACAGGATGAGTGGCGCTGCCCAATACTGTCACTATGTCGGTGTGTCCACTCAAAGGATGAGTGGCGCTGCCCACTACTGTCACTATGGTGGTGTGTCCACTCACAGGATGAGCGGCGCTGCCCAATACTGTCACTATGTCGGTGTGTCCACTCACAGGATGAGTGGCGCTGCCCACTACTGTCACTATGGCGGTGTGTCCACTCACAGGATGAGCGGCGCTGCCCAATACTGTCACTATGGCGGTGTGTCCACTCACAGGATGAGTGACGCTGCCCAATACTGTCACTATGGCGGTGTGTCCACTCACAGGATGAGTGGCGCTGCCCAATACTGTCACTATGTCGGTGTGTCCACTCACAGGATGAGTGGCGCTGCCCACTACTGTCACTATGGCGGTGTGTCCACTCGCAGGATGAGCGGCGCTGCCCAATACTGTCACTATGGCGGTGTGTCCACTCGCAGGATGAGTGGCGCTGCCCAATACTGTCACTATGGCGGTGTGTCCACTCACAGGATGAGTGGCGCTGTCCAATACTGTCACTATGGCGGTGTGTCCACTCACAGGATGAGCGGCGCTGCCCAATACTGTCACTATGGCGGTGTGTCCACTCACAGGATGAGTGGCGCTGTCCAATACTGTCACTATGGCGGTGTGTCCACTCACAGGATGAGTGACGCTGTCCAATACTGTCACTATGGCGGTGTGTCCACTCACAGGATGAGTGACGCTGCCCAATACTGTCACTATGGCGGTGTGTCCACTCACAGGATGAGTGGCGCTGCCCAATACTGTCACTATGTCGGTGTGTCCACTCACAGGATGAGTGGCGCTGCCCAATACTGTCACTATGGCGGTGTGTCCACTCACAGGATGAGTGGCGCTGTCCAATACTGTCACTATGGCGGTGTGTCCACTCACAGGATGAGTGACGCTGCCCAATACTGTCACTATGTCGGTGTGTCCACTCACAGGATGAGTGGCGCTGCCCAATACTGTCACTATGGCGGTGTGTCCACTCACAGGATGAGTGGCGCTGCCCAATACTGTCACTGTGGCGGTGTGTCCACTCACAGGATGAGTTGCGCTGCCCAATACTGTCACTATGGCGGTGTGTCCACTCACAGGATGAGTGACGCTGCCCAATACTGTCACTATGGCGGTGTGTCCACTCACAGGATGAGTGGCGCTGCCCAATACTGTCACTATGGCGGTGTGTCCACTCACAGGATGAGTGGCGCTGCCCAATAC